TGGAAAAGGAGCTATGCATTGAAGGCAATAGCTTGGATGCACGAGCGCCATTGAGGGCGCGACTGGGCCATGTCTGACAATGTCTCTAATTATTGATGTGGACCGTCTCGGGGTCTCCATCCAGGAAGACGTCAATGACCAGCGCAGCTGAGTTTGCTGGTAATGGCTGGTAACGCTCTGCAGAGTCTTTCCTAATAACAGCCAGAGCAAAATGTTATGGACAAAATATAGCGTTATCCTTACACATTAGGAGATGCGTTGTATGGTCGTTCGAAATCAGAAGGAAGTCAGACCAACTTGGCTAAAGTCCAAGATGTCTCTAGCCATTGATGTGGCCCGTCTCTAGGTCCCCATCCAGGAAGACGGCAATGACCAGCGCAGCTGAGTTTGCTGGCAATGGCTTTCATACTTCGCTGCCAAGTCATTGTTTGACCGCCTCTGGCACTAAAGCACTAAAGTTACAGGTCTGTGTGGTTAGGGCTATTCACCACTTTCAACGCATACTAGTTATCCAACGGACTAGGTATTCCCTCTTGCCTGTGTGAGTAAGCAACATAGTCTCGATTTTTCACTCAGTATAACTTATGCCAACCAGTCTCCTCTACGACCTACTCGACTTAAAGCTCTCACCTTGTGGTGCTGGTCCGGTTTAGGTTCTACAATGATCCAGCAGGATACACTGACTGGAACCCAGTTCCCCAAGGTTAACTATATCACGGATGCCAACGATGAGCAGCCCGACAAAAAAGAGCGAGTCCCGTATTGAGAATGATGGCATTATGAGGTGGTCTGAGGGAATAGTCGTACTGTCGTCTGCTGTAGGCGCATGAAGGTAGTGTCTCTATGTGCATGGAGGCAATGCTCCCTTCCTTCGAGGAAAGATAGGTTAAAAATAGCCATAAAACACTTACCGACCGCCGGCCGAATATTCAATAAGTTCGAAGCACCTTAAAGATTGAAGAATGCGTAGCCACATTAGAAGTGAGACAGTAATGTCTTACTCCCGGCGCCCTCGGGCTACGCCAGTACCCTACCAAGCGGACTATTGAGTCAGTGGCTGATGGAAAGTTCCTCCAATAAATCTCAGCACCCGCTGTCTTGCGTTACAGGCATAAGTCGGGGGCTACAGGAAGGGTTCCTGAACTCAGCCCTACAACCTCCCATTGTCTTATGGATTAAAATTTTAAGTCAAAGGCTGGGGTATCTCGACAAAACCCCCTTCTTCTTAAGTTGTGTGCTGAGCATCTCCAGTCCTAGGATAGTGGGAATTTCCAGCACAAACCCTCACATCGGGTTACGAACCGCAAGCTAGACATGAACTCAGTTGGATCATGTGGCTGTTGGTTATCGATTGAGAGCTTCAATTAGATATTGCTGTTTCTTCGGGATGCACAACTTGATCCCGATCATGCAAAAATGTTATGAACACAATATAACGTTATCCTTACACATTAGGAGATGCGTTGTACGGTCGTTCGAAATCAGAAGGAAGTCAGACCAACTTGGCTAAAGTCCAAGATGTCTCTAGCCATTGATGTGGCCCGTCTCTAGGTCCCCATCCAGGAAGACGGCAATGACCAGCGCAGCTGAGTTTGCTGGTAATGGCTGGTAACGCTCTGCAGAGTCTTTCCTAATAACAGCCAGAGCAAAATGTTATGGACAAAATATAGCGTTATCCTTACACATTAGGAGATGCGTTGTATGGTCGTTCGAAATCAGAAGGAAGTCAGACCAACTTGGCTAAAGTCCAAGATGTCTCTAGCCATTGATGTGGCCCGTCTCTAGGTCCCCATCCAGGAAGACGGCAATGACCAGCGC